TCCAATTCATCTTTTCCCCCCAGCTACTGGTTTAAAACTCCCCAAAAGAAAGAAAGCGGCAGATTCACTTTCAATTTAAATCTCAACCCTTTCTTCCCATTGGCTCACCTGGCTCCCTGCCAATACTTTCTAGCTTCCTGGGTTTAAGCCTTTAGTCCTTGAATGCTGGGATATTCAGAAACGGAAAGTGTTCCTCCCATCCTACCCAGGGGCAAAGCTGCAGTGCCAGTGAGATCAATGCAGTAACACCCCGGGTTTGCAGGGAATCCCACAAGGCTCCTTGATTCTCTTTAAAGCTTCTTGTCCAGGAGACTGGCCTGTTCAGAGGAGCCTCACCTTAACTCATCCCTCCAGCAGGAGAGAATGACCAATGTCGCCTGATAGGCAGGTGGCGGGTCTAGTGCCGGGCTGTCTGGGATGTGATAGGCCAGAGCTCCATGGAGAGACAGGAAAGGATTCCATTGGGAGTATTTGCGCAAGAACACTGACTTTGTAATGTACAAAATCAGTGGTTCTTGCGCAAATACTCTGATGCTCCTGCTCAGGGATAAGCCCTCTTGCACAAGTATTCTTGCACAAAAGGGCCAGTGTAGACAGCCAAGTTAATTTCTTGTGCAAGAAAGCCCGATAGCTAAAATGGCCATCGGAGCTTTCTTGCGCAAGAGAGCGTCTACACTGGCACGGATGCTTTTGTGCAAAAGCAAATCTTTTGTGCAAAGGCACATGCCAGTATAGATGCTCTCTTGTGCAAATACTGTTAATGGAAAAACTTTTCTGTTAAAAGTCTTTGTGCAAAATCATGCCAGTCTAGATGCAGCCTAAGTGTTCTGCAAGTAGTTTCCACTTGGCGGAGCTGTCCTTTCAGCACCAAAGAACCACAAAGACACAAGTCAAGACAGAACAAAGCCATATAAGACTGAGTGAATTCAGACTATCTACATATGAAGAGCTTCACCATGTCAGTAGTACACATCCTCTGCAACACAGAATGCTATATAGATCAATGATCTTTAATTAACAAATTAGACATATCAAGATGTTACTTGCTTTCTGATTTCAGTTTAGAAACATAGTACTCTGCACTATTATAGTGCAATAAAGTAAATGATCTCAAAGTATTTTAAGAGGCTAAATATTATTATCCCAATTTACAGTGAATATTGAAGCAGATATAGGTTAGGTGACTTGCCCCAGGAAGCTAATGGCAGAGGACAGTTGTTACACTGCCTTCATGGACAGTAGCAGTACAAGCTTTGCCACATCAACTTACCATTGTGTCTCAGGGTTTATCTACACTCCACAGCTTTTAGTGACATGGCTGTGTTGACACAGCCATGTGGCTGAAAGTCAGGCAGTGTAAACAATGTTTGTTAGCACTTTTGTCAACCAAAATCTTCCATTCCCTATGAGTGAAAGTTAGCTTTGTCCTCAAGAGAACACTCCTATTGACAAAGCGTATTTGTATTAGCACTTGTTGTAGCAAAGTTTTTGTCATGAGGGGAAGGTGTTTATGCACTTGTGAATGACAGAAGCTTTGTCCCTCAATTGCTAGTGTAGACAAAGCCTCAGCCAGGACTGCAAGGGATCACTCTCTCTAGAGCAGGGGTCGGCAACCTACGGCACATGTGCTACTTATGGCACATGAGCCAAGTTTCAACAGTACACAGGAGGGAGCTTAGCCCCGCCCTTCTTCCCCTGTGCAGCCGCTGAAAAGTGCTCCTTCCTCCCTGCAGCAGGTTAGGCTGTGGTAGGAGGAGGCAGCACTGGGGCTGAAGCTCCTCAGCAGCACCTTGGCCAGGACTGGAGGTGCTTCTGCCGTGGCTATGCAGTTCGGTGCCGGCCTCTGACCATGTGGCTGTGGCAGTGGTGCCTCCTGGGCTGGCCCTGGACCATGTGGGCCCTGACAATGGCAGCAGGGCCTCCCTTCAGGGCGGGCTGGGACAGCATGGGTGCAGCCATTGCTGCAAGGGGGCAAAAAGCCAGGTAAGGTCCCGCCTCATGCCCAGACCCGCTCCCCCACAACCAAATCCCCTTACTCCCCTCCCTTGTTCCTGCACCTTCCCTCCTGGTCAGACATCCCAGCCTGCTCCTGCACCTTCCCCCAGTCTAGCCAGACACCCCCACCCTGCTCCTGTATCCACCATTGCTTCTGCTCCCTCTTTCTTGGCCACACACTGCACCCTCCCTTGCTCCTGCTCCCTCCACCTGACCGGACATCCTACTCTAAGCCTGCTTCTGGACCCTACCTCCCGCCCAGACCTCACACCCTCTCCCTGTTTTGCGCCCTCCCAGATCCTGCAGCCCATCCCTATCCTACTTGCTGGCAGCCCCGTCTCATACACTGAACCCCTCATTTTTGTCCCTACCCCAGACTCTAAGGGGGGTCCATAAAATCCACTAACTCCAGAACCTCAGAAAAGTTTAAATCTGGTCTATGGCAAGCAGAGGTGTAGCGAGGGTGTTATGTGCCCAGGGGCAAAGGCAAAATTTGTACCTTCCCCCGTCCCCCAATCATTTGTTACTACCTGTGAGACTTTACATATTTTCTGTGCTGGAAGGGGAACATGCAAACAGGGTTTGGCTTGGATCCTCCATGCTGCCCCCGTCCGGCCAAAGTGCAGAATGTGCTGCGTGGGAAGTGGGAGCTCGCAGCCCGCAAGGCGAGCGGGGCCCAGCAGTTTGAGGTGACTATGAATCGCACCCATGTGGGCAGCCAAGGCTGGAGAATTATTTGAGTTCCATGAGGGGGCAGTGCGCTGTGTGCATCCGGTGTGTCTGTGCCAAGCCTGGCAGCACTATGGTGACTCGTGGGAAGTTCAGGACCCGGGGCTTCTGAAGGAGGCTGATGAGGCCAAGGTTAAAACTGCTGTGTGGGTCCTGGGTGGCATTGCATTGCAAACAGCTGCTGCAGTGTAGCCCGAGTGGGAGCCGGTCTCTGTAAAGTGCCAAGCAATGTCCCCGGCTTTGCTTGTGTTCTTAAGTAGAGGGATGGGACATGTAGGGGGGCTCAGGGCAGGGGGTTCTGGTGTCAGGAGGTGGGTTTGGAACAGGAGGTTGGTGTTTGGAGGGGTGAGGGTGGAGTTAAGGAGTCATGCAGGGGGTTGGGTTCGGGGGCGGGCTCAGGGAGGGGGGTGAGAGTGCAGAAGTCAGGGACAGTGGTGGGAGGTGAAGGGCTCATGGCAGAGCACAGGGCAGGGGGTTCTGGTGTCAGGAGGTGGGTTTGGAACAGGAGGTTGGTGTTTGGAGGGGTGAGGGTGGAGTTAAGGAGTCATGCAGGGGGTTGGGTTCGGGGGCGGGCTCAGGGAGGGGGGTGAGAGTGCAGAAGTCAGGGACAGTGGTGGGAGGTGAAGGGCTCATGGCAGAGCACTGGAAGGCAGGGGTAGCTTACCGGGGCTGGCCAGTGGTGAGCGTGATGCAGCTCTTGCGATGGGGTCCTCATGGGAGCAAGGGACTCCAGGAGCTGGCCCTGATTTTCATCTACTCCCATCCAGCGAGTGGAGAGGTTTAGCTCTAGGGGTCGGCCCTCGCCTGCAACTACCTCTGCAACTCTTGGGGGTTTCGTAGCTCCGGGGTCTGCCCAGCCTCCAGCCAGACCAGGAGAGGGCAGAAGTTGGAGTCAGCCCTGAACTCCAGCTGCCACCCCTCCATCCCTCGAATTCAGGGTCACCGTGATGGGGTTGCTCCAATCTCGCACAGAGGCTGTCGGCGTAAAAAGAAGCCAGGTCTCATTGGCTCAACCAGGCTGTGCTGCAGAGGCTATTCACAGTCAGCTAAATTGGCGCCCCTAGCATGGCGCCTGGGGGCAACTATCCCTCCATCCCCACTCACTACACCTCTGATGGGAAGCTCTGTACCTCAGTCCCCCACTTCCCTTCCCCTCACCATGGGGCTGGGGCACCAGAGGAGTGAGGTGTCTCAATTGGGGGCCACATCAGTGAGGGTTTTGGAGGAATTTTTTTGCTTCTCACTGGTGTGGTCCCCAACTGATTTTTCTGTGAGTCAACCCCAACCCCAACCCCAAAAAAGTTTCCCGCCCCTGCCATAAATAAAGAAACTATGGAAACCTTTTGTGTTGGACATAATATTTTACCTTATGTAAAATGAAGTTTGATAAACTAACATTTGTTTCACAATTTAAATTAAACCGTCTCTCCAGCTGCAACTGGTTCAGAAAATATGGTCACCATACCCAGCCTGCCGTTGCTACCTCACTCCTCCCTCACCTCCTCCCTGGCACACACATCCGTGAATAAGTTAAATCTTGATATGCCGCTTCTGAGAGGTTGCCGACCACTGCACTAAAAGATAAGATCTGCATCTTTCTTTACTAATGAAGCTGCTGTAAGTAGGACGATCGTTGACTTTAAAAAGTATCACTAGCATGCAGACCCGTACAGAGAGGTGAATAAGTCAAATCTCAGCATACCACCTTTGACAGGTTGCTGACCCCTGCTCTAGAGTGAGGGTCTACATGCATATCTGGGTTCTGTATGCAACTATTTATAACAGTGCCTGGAAGTATGGGTTCTGTATATGGAATCAATGCACACACTTTTTCACACATACATTTTACTCCCCCATACATAAAAATGTGGTCCTCAGTGTTTGTACCCATCCAACAGAGTGCAATACTAATTAAAGCTTGGTTGCATGTAAAAAAAAGAGTACATTTCAGATGGAGTTATAATTGGAAGAATTTTAATATATATCTTGGGAAGAGGGATTGTCTGATATGTAGAGCACAGCAGTGTTTATTCACATTCACAAAGTCCTATAGTGCTCAATAACCTCTCCTCCCATAAGTTCTGGTGCTCTGTGCATCATCTAATGTCAACAGAGCACATAACTCAGATGCAGTGGTACTATGGTGACAGTAACCAATGAGAAGACATCATGCAAATGAGAATACTGTATCCCACACCAGCTGCTCTGTTGCTGGCTGGTTGTTATAGTGATAAACTGAGGCCTTGCCTCTTTGCTTCTCCTTGAAAGAAGGAAAGAGAAGAAAGGTGAAAGAGGTGGGGGTGGGGAAGTGAATTATATGACAAAGGAAAACATTATCTGGCTGCAAAGAGAACAGCAGAGAGGGCATCACGGAGAAAAATATTCACTGGCCATGCCCGTGCTCACCACGGATGCTGAGTCAGAAACAGGTATCCCAAAATCCTTTTCTAATGAGCTTCTTTCAGAAACCATGGAGGAGATAGAACACACATGCCCTCAGCCTCGGTTGGTAAGTACAGACAAAGGATGCATGTATTTGTCACCCAAAAGCTCATTGCTTTATTAGAATGTAAAGGAATAGATTGTTCAATTATATAATATGTAAATATGAATTCAACTGCAGCCTAATTCATCTCGGTTGATTGTGCTTATAGTCTGCACTGGAAGAACGTGTGTTACAAAGAACTATTGTACCTGCTATGAAAAATGCAGATTATTTAGGATTTCTTTGTTATTGTGTGTGAGGAAGAGGTTCTGTTTTGGCAGCTCTCTTTCTATAAACAAAACCTGTCAGGAATATGAAAGGGGCATTTTTCTTTAGTCTTTTTAAGATTCGGATTTACAGCAAGGCTGCTCATTTCATCCTCGCCTGTTCTTTGTTTTTGTGCTGACTTTGAGAAATAAATGACAGATTAAGCAGAAGTGTCATGTCCCTAAACAAAAGACAGTGAGTTAATATGATGTAGTATGATCACCCAAATTTCTAAAAGCTTTTAGTAAGATTGGGTGTGTACACTTCCATGATTTTACTCAGGTAATGGAAAGCATGTGACTCGCATGTGGATAGCTGCATTAAAAGAAGAGCTGCATGTCTTCAATAATTAATGTCTAGCAAGAGTGCATTCAGAGAAGCCGGCTGCCCATATGGTAGAGCATTCCTTTATCTCTGTATATTATGTCTGATATATTGAATTAAGCCCTCTTACACCATCACTGTTCAGTTTCACTCCCAGGGTTCTGCAGATTCATTCTGCATCAAATAGGAGTCCACTCTAACAAATAAGACAAAACAATGAGGTGTTGCTTGCTGCTTCTCTAAAGTCATAAAGAACTATGAAGGGCAAGTTCCAATGAGATATGGGGCTTTAAATTATGGCAAATGATTTATGCTGTCTATCCTTTATATCTGAGAGGGGAGCTTGCCGATTGATTAAAAGTGTGTGGTTTGAAAGGGCAGCATGAAGAAATGGGACTTTTTTTGGGGAGAGGAAGTGTTTGATCATAAAAAAAGTTGTTAGTCTTTGAATGAAGGTGACAAAAATCGCATCCAGGCAGCTCAGACTACTTCACAGTCAAAACTAGCACAGGCTCCAGCTGGGTGCTGTACCCTCAGAGCAAGCACTTTAGAGCTGTATATTTTCATGTGTTAGTCTTTCTTCTATTCTGAATGTTTTTATTGTTGTTCTTTATTTAAGACTGTCCAATTTATTATTCTCGACAAGAGTAATTGTTAACTTGTCCCTATCCCTGTATGTGTTACCACAAGGCACTGATAATAATGATACATATGACAGAAGCCCAAGAAATGGATATTAATAAGGTGTTACACTCTGTGACTTGTGCAGTAGTTTAGCACTGGAAATGAGATCATTTACTTCCAGAATTAAACACAACCTTAATTAAAATTTTTTTTTTTAAATCCAACCTCTATAATTGCATGTAACACTTTCTTTCAAACACTGAAGTGCTCTGACAAATAGGAATAGTTGCTAGAGTCACATAAATTAACATTTTCCCCTCATTTTTTTTATAATTAGCTAACAACTTTTTTTAAAGCTATTAATTTATAAATGGATAGGCCTTGGCTGTTTGGCTGTTTTTAAATAAGGGAGCTAAGTACTGTAATGTGTTTAAAAATGCTGTTTGTTAAAGTTTTTCTTACACATAATACAACCCTTTTGAATATATTATATCCCTCCTATCCTGCCACATAAAAAAGCATTTAAAGGAAGAAATGTCAATGTGAAGCAGGTATTTACAGTATCAGTCATTCTAGTTGAAATCCTATGGAAATGAAAGTGGCAACCGGAATACATGAATAAAACAGGAACTCACAATGATCTGTTTTACAGCTCCATGAATATTAATACATCAGTAATGACAACAGAGATACTTGGAATAAAAATTTATTGAAAACTCATATGTCCAAGATGAGATTCTGTGGGACTGTCTTACCTCTATACTTGCTGAAAGAAATGTGCCAATGTTGAAGTAGAGGAGAACTCAGAATATTTAAGAATTTAATGACTAATAATAAATAAGAACAAATAAAGATGGACCAGATATATGACCAGATCCTTATCTGTTGCCAGTCAGCATAGCTCCATTGAAAACTATGGAACTCTACCACAGCATCAGCTAAGGATCTAGTCCATTATTCTTATTCAGTACAGAACTTTATTTCATTGTAAGTCTTTTCAGATGTTTAAAATAGCCTCTTCTCTTAGTTGTGGGACCAACTTCTATGAAGTCAATGGGAGTTGGGTTGGACCATTAACTGGGAAAGCCACTTAACCAGGACACTAAACTCTCTACTGGAGAGTCCTAACTAAAATAACTTTACTATGGGCCTATTATGCTGTATTTGAATTTGTTACCAGGCAATTATGTAATACTGATGAGCTGAGTTTGTATTATTTGTGATTTTTTTTCATGCAGGTAGGTGGCTATTATGATGATGGTGAGAAAGTAATTAACAGCCAGAGCTCTTTGTATAGGTAGGGGTTTAAAAAAACCCTATTGCTTTAATCTATTTATATCTATATATAATTCAAAATTAGAACAAATAACATGAAATACTTGAAGAAAGTATTCATTACTTTATAATGAAACTTTGCAAAAGTCAATAAATATTTTCACAGATGGAACTGGAGTTAGTAGGACTTCCTAAATTGATATTTTTATAGTATTTACTGTTGTTTGCTTTTTAATTAAAACAGAATTACATAACTGAATCCCAGAAACAGCAAATATTTTAATTAATATCTGTCACAATGTAACTATTTCTTTTTCAGTCAGTCAGTCCCTCTGACTTTATGTCATGGAGGCTGCCATGTTGGCAGGAAGTGTCACTGTAGGACTAAAGGAAACTTCTGTGTCCTTCCATGAGCCAGGAAAGCAAGAGACATTGAAGTCAGTTTTCAGGTAAGTTTCAATGTGTATTGAAATATGAGTTTTTCCTCGGTGTAGCACTGATTTTATATAAATTGCCATAACTTCCTCTTTTTTTTTCTTTTTTTCTTTTTTTGCAGACGCTGTCTGGGATTTTTGAACTAAAAAAGTCAGTGAGGGACTCCACTAAGAATTCATATTGCAGTAGAGCAGTGGTAGGCAACCTGCAGCCCATGGGCTACAAACCAGCCAGCCATTTTATTTACAGTTGCCCACATGCAGGGATGCCAGTTTTGCTGGTTTCCACCCATGTAGCTTTTTGTTCCTACTGGTGTTACTAAAGTGACATGCACGTAAAGCAAGGGCACATGTAAAGCAAGGTGCATGCTGATGGTTCTCACAGTCAATGTGTGCTGAGTGCTCCCTCTGCATCCAGTCAAAGTGCTGCTAGAGTGCAACCAGCACACCCCACATATTCTAGGTAAACAAGCACAGTTAGCAAAACTGCCCTATACTGGGATACCATCTTGGTTAGGACAATCCTGTGGGCATGAAGGCAGGCCACTCCTGTGGCCCACTCACTAGCCTAGGCTGCCTATCACTGAAGTAAATACTCCCTGCTCCCTCCTTCCCTCTAACTTTGCCTTCTCTTTGTTCCCTATTTTCATGCATCTGCCTGACAATTAATACCATCATTCATCATACACCATCAGTGGACCTTACCCTCAGACAACAACAATGAAACATTCCATTACATTATAGTCTCATCTACACTGTGGGTTTCAGCCACTGGTGCATCTATACAAGTGTTGCTATTCCAGTGTACACCAGTCTTGTAGATATGGTCTGTCAATGGAAGTGCCAACTGTTTGAAAATGGGATAAACGCACCTGTGCAAATTGTAATTTTAAACTAGTGGACCACGTTTACCTTGCAATAAATGTGGCTAAAAATACACAGCATAGTCAAGTCCATTGTTTCCCTGAGAAGCAGAGGCACATGGACTATAGAAGGTTGGGGGAGGGACTTAATTTGGACGTTACAGCAGTTTGAAGCTACTTTTTTAGTTAGTTTATGAGGATTAAGTCTTTGGGCTTGATTCTGCAATTAATTCCCTGTGGGCAACTCATGGCTCCTTACAGGATCAGCGCCTTTGGTCTTCATCTGGATTTGGAAAGAATTTAGCATACTGTGAGAATTACCACAACCTAAATATTAAATCAATAATAACAATAGCTTTGCTCACAGGTGGGGTGGCAGACAATCCCAGACAGTGTCTACATCAGAAAGAAGCAATGGCAATGTGTAAGAACAGTGCTGCAATTAAAAACAATTAATACACATAGAAACTTACCTGAAAACAAATTTAACTACCACTTGGTTTGACTTTCACTGAAGTGGAGTGGGAGAATTTTGGTTTTTGTTTTGTTTTGTTTTTTTACTCAGACTGTATACATCTTTCTTCTAAAATAAGTCTCTAGGAATAAAATATTCAAAAGCGCCTACATGACTTGGGTGCCTAATTCTCATAAACTTTCAATGAGACTTAGATGCCTAATGCTTCAGGTACGTTAGAAAAGAGGATATAGATGCACAAGTCACAGGGACTTCTGACAATTTTAATTTAAGGTCTTTAATCGTTTTTACAAAAAAAATTTAATCACCAGTTATGTTGGTGAAATCATTCAGAAACTTTGAAAAACACTTAATATTCATTTCAGAGTAGATAAGAAAGATTACAATATATTATTACTCTTTCTTGGAGGAGATTTAATAATGGTTTAAACTGGAGGTATAATATCCATAGAAATATTCCCTATTGTGATTAAGTATAAAATTTGAAGGAGCTATTTCTAAAAATTGGCCTCGACTTTCAGTATTTTGATCTCTGATGTTTTTCCTTTTTATTTAAACAATGATTTAGGATGATTTTTACAGAACTGCATATTTCAGATATTCTACTTGTATGACTGGGTAAAATTCCTCAACAAATACATATTATTTTAACTGTTATAGTTAGTAACATTATGAATATAAAGGATTTTATTGTAGATACAAAACTAGCCATGCTTTTTTTCTTCCACAATGTGGTATGATTTAGAGACCATCCATCAGCGC